TTTTTTTGTTATTGTTGTGTCTCTCACTGTTCACATAAACCTACCATTGAAATTGTAGACTGATCATTTCTTTGTTAGTGGGCAAACTTACAAAATCAGCTGGGGTTCAAATAATTTTTTCCCTGACTGTACAGTATATTATGTGGTTACAGAGCAAAATGATTTATTAGACTGTAGGCTTTTCAATCACTTGGCCAAATTAGGACACGAGATGTTTTTAATCAATTATTTGTAATCTGTAAGGAGAAAATTAGATGAAGCAGAAAAGGCCAGAGGGCCACAAGATAGACGATGAGATGCGTTAAATATGGGAAGAAGAATAAATCTATAAAGAGAGAAGAACAGAGAAGAATACAGTATGTAGTGAAATGTAAAAGGAAACGGGAAATGTGGTGTAAAGAAGGAAATGAGATGAGAACAAGAAGGAGGAGGAAAAAACTACAAGGAAATTTTAATTCCACCTCACTACTATGCTGTTTTAAAACATTTGTGCCCTCCCAGCAGTTATTTATACATTACTATGCTGGGTAGTGCGGCACTGACCAATGAACTTGTGCTTATTGCTTGTTGTGGCCTGCTTAGACGGCTGTGTGATGTATAATCTCTAAAGCAATCTAACAGCGCTACACTGGAATTCAAAATGGAAAAACATCTATGAAATATCAATGATTTATTGTATCTCTAGGAAGACTGGGGTTTAAGTGGTTCAAGCTTGGAATATTGAAATCAAAATGAAAGCTTTAATAGATGATGCACATTTTTAACAGTTTGAGCAAATTTCACTTATGCTTTTAATTCTCCAGCACTGAAAAGATTAGTTGATTAAGTTATTTGTAAGTTATTAATCACCATCCATTTTAATTTTAATAATCAAATCATCATTAAACTCATTTCTATTTGTGCAGTTCAAAATTTGCTGTCCTTCACTGTATTACATTGCAAAAGGAATGTTTTTGGCCTGTAGAATGTTGATTGGATAGAAATAAAATAAGTACATCTCTATTGTATTTTACATACTAAAGGATAATGAAGATAATCTGCTGCAGCCCTAGAATCTTATGAGAGTTTCCATATTGAAAAATGAGTGGAAATCCAGTCGGAATATTTTGGGAATCCACTGCAAATCCGGTGAAAAGTTTGGAATTCTCCCACCATGAACCTAGTCAATACTGCACAGCAGCGGGGGATTATGGGGTAATGAGGAAGGAACCCATTACTTGTTCATGCATGCGCATACCCACACATACATACAGATAAGCATACAATATCAGAACTAAAACACTTATGCAGACAGACACACGCAGAGACCCTAACATTTTGCATATACACCCAAAATTCAACATACACACGTACACACACACTTAGCAGGAGGCAAATTGGCACACAGCTGGAGAGGAGTTAAGACTCAGTGACAAGCTTGTGGTCTGTGTGTGTGTGTGTGTTAAACAGAGACAGAAAGAGAGAAACAGAT